ACATTTTTCTGGTTGCCTTTTAAAAATTTTAAATGGAGGGGAAGAATAGAGGCAGGGCATTATTAGGTTACTTCTCATGCATCAGTGTTATAAATTCAACATATAGACTGACAACCTAAATTAATGGTGGAACACAGTTCTTTTCCTTTTTTTTTTTTTTTTTGTATCTGTTTAATGAAAATAAGAAGGTATAACCCAAGTTTTGTACTCTGACTAGAGGGATTCCACTTCAAGGTCTGAAAGTAGGACTTTAACCTTAAAAACAATGACAAACAAAAACTATCACATAGGATGGCTAAGAAGATGCTTAAACAGTTTTGTGTGGATCTTGTTGGTGCTGAACTATGGCATGAGCCTTATAGATTGTAAAATAGAAATAGTGGGAGCTAATGTAAAAAATTAAATTTTTAAACTTTATTTGTTATTAAATTCTGTGAAGTTTCAGTTATCTAAAATAAACATACACAAATATGAAAATAAAATATAATTCTATGTTCTTGATGAATGCTAACCTTCTGATGTTGCCTTCTAAGCAAATTGAAAGCTGCCTTCTACTGAATGAGGAAGAGAACAAATACTTGGCTGAATGAAGTACTGCAAAAGACTTGCATGCACTTTGAAGAAAGACTTAAGTCACTGTCATATGATTTCCATTCTTTTTAGTTTTTTCTTAAATAGATGACAAAATACCTACACAGAGTGATATTTCAGTTAATATAGTAAATGTATTTTCCAGTCTGACATTCAGCTTAAATATGCCTGTATGTGATTTACTCCATAGGTACTTGATGAACGCATTATTGTCGGATTGGGTACAGATGCTAAACACTATCTGAAGGTCATCCCTAGTCATTTCTATTACTTAGGGTAAAAGTGAAGTGATTTGAACTATCAAAACCCCTTTGAAATAATTTATCAATGTATCAGATAAACGCAGTTTCAGAATGATTAAGAAAAACTGTTTGACCAAATAATGTGGCTGATTAACAGTGGTAGGATTTCTAGCCCGGGGGTTTAAAATGGACTTAAAGTTCTGTTCTGTGTTTTATTCCTGAACTTGCCGCTTTTGCATTCTTTGAGTTCAGTTTAATGACAGTTACTTTAAGTCCATTTTCAGAGGTATGATTTCTAGCCTGAGGGCTGAAAATGGACTTAGAGTAACTGTCTTTAAACTGAACTCAAAGAATGCAAAAGTGGCAAGTTCAGGAATAAAACGCAAAACAGAACTTTAAGTCCATTTTAAACCCCCCCCCCTAGAAATTGTACCACTGTTAATCTGCCGCATTATTTGGTCTAACAGTTTTCCTTGATCATTCTGAAACTGCGTTTATCTGATACATTGATAAATTCCTACAACTTGGAAGAGTTAGTTCAAGTCACCAGGACCCAATATTTGCACTCTTTTAGGGAATGCAGGGAAATGTGTTATTCCATCTGTAAAATCGTATTAATGATCTCCTATTAATGTCATATTTATGAAAGTATCATGAGGATGCCAAATGCTAAACATGGAGATGGTCAGTAACTAGGAATCTCCACTTCAGGGAGCACTCCATCCTAACAATGGGACGTATTTTGGCACACAGACATTAGAACTTCATGAAGCTTCAACTGTTGATTCTGTCCCAAGCATCATAAAGTTATGATTTAGGCAATGTCTGACTGAAAGAATTCATTCATAATGTAGAGGCACATTAACAGAAATCTTGCACAAAATATGCCTCTAACTGAAACCGAAAGATATCAAAACATATTTCACTCTTGGTAAAGAACTTGGTGAGGAAATAAAACTCTGTGATTGTACAGACACTTTTCCTGATAATACGTTGACATTCACAAACAGTAGATGGCACTGCAGTCTATAAACATTTTAAATTGCATAAACTTCTTGATTTTCAAATATAGTACAATTCTCCCTACTGAGACTCCTTTTTGTTTCAGCCAAGTACTCTCACATATATTAGTTTATAATCATGTCTGTGATTATTATATTTTGTTTGTGATTATTGTTTAAAGTCCTTTTTATTGAAGAAAACGAAGGCAATTCCTATGTCAGAGTAACCAAGGTGGTTGAAGAATAGGCATTAGCCAGAGAAGTATGGATGGTCAAATCAGTCCAGCCTCAGAGAAGCTCCATGAACACAGAGGGATGCCAGGTGTCACACGGCTTTCCTGCACTCTAGTCCATTATTGACTACAACCTGTATGCCTGTTCCAGGGACATTTACACTTTTTAAAATTTTTATTAAAAATTTTATTTCTTTTTCTGGATATTTAAACTCTTAAAGGATTTCTTTTTTTGTTGTTGGAGATGTTTTATAAAAACGGACATTTTATCAGCAACTTGCTATGTGAACTGTAATAAATAGCAATTTTTAAAACTGTGAAATGATACAAAAGGATAAAATCTCATCTGTGGTCTCTTTCTGTGTGCAAGGCACTATACCAAGTGTCCTAAAACATTAACTGTTCAGTCATCAATATTCAGTGCCTATCCACTCTATGGTACAAAGTTCCATTCATATATATATATATATATATATATTACACTTTATCTTAAAGGATTTCTTATGCTCTTTGCTAATACATTAAGAAGAATGCCAACCAGTGCCCTTTTGTGTACTGAGACTTAGAGTCATGTCATTAAAACAGGTAACATAAACTCTGACTTTACAATGTATTATAAATATAAATGCTCTAAACTAGGAAAGGTTTTTCACACCTACAGTCAAAGATGGGAACCTTTTATTCCTAGAAATCACCCTTTTTTAGGTCATCAAAAAAGAGTGCAGCTGCCGCGGCTCATGATACAGTATCTTCATGAGCCCAGAGCACAGAGGAACCCTAAAAGAACTGCCATGCACAGCGCTCGTTCTTGGCATGGGAATGACTGAAATACTCTATTCTGCACATACCTGCCAGAGCAGGCCACTTTCCTCTTCTGTGAGATTTTAAAAGCTCCCCAAAATGTTATTACTCCATTTGCAATGCACAGAAAATGGAAGAAAGGCTGTTTCCAGTTCTCGGCTTTTCAACAACTCTAGATGTCAGTACTCATAGTGGCACCTTACAAGGTAATAAACGGTGTGCACGTGCGGGCAAAGCACATATTGAGCTAATTAAGAGCTCACTGTGAGCAGGATTCCATCAAATATCATAGCAGAACATAAGCAAATTGTATCGGAATTCCATAAAGAATATACATGCTGCAATAACATTAAAAACCATGGCAGCCTATTCCAAACTAGCGAGAATGGTTTTGTGCCAATAGTGGGTCTTTGTGTGTTTGAACTCCCACCACATAAGGGCAAACTCGATAGGCATGCTAATGACCTACGATTATCAAATTAAAAATGAAAAACGCTAAAGGATGCCAGAGTGAACATCAGTGAAAGCCACACGAAGACCCACTCTCCTTTAACTTTTTACAAATAAACTGTAAATTAGAAACACAAATCATCATGAGTGACTCTAACATTCAAATAAAGTTAACATGTAGAAGACTAATCCTATAACTTTGTTCCTTTGTAAATTTCTTGGCCAGCTCTTAGCTGATGGTGATGTTTACCTCCTCCTTCGCAGCAGCCCGGTAAAAGCATGGCATAGAGGGACTGCTGCCCAAGGGTCGGTGTTGCTGGCCATCCCGCAGCTCACACAGCTGTGAGCCATCTGCTGTGCAGTGGGGTGTGGTGTACCCTCCCTCCTGCAGGCTCCAGGCTGTAGCTGTCATCGTCCGGGCTCATCTCATAAAATTCTTTGGAGAGAGGGAGGTGGGGATCTGAGTACAGTGCCAGCCTCCCCTGCTCCTGCATGCCCACCCCGCCTGAGGGCTCTACTCACCATCCTTGTCAGCAGCACCAAGCTCCTGGGGGGCTGGGGCCCCTGGAGTGGACTCATTAGCAGGGTGCTGGACCTCGTGGTTGATCATAAGCTGCATCACTGGGCCCTGCAGCTCCAGCAGCTTCACCTGGAGATAGGGGTGCTCAGCTGCCACACCGGTGCCGGCACCCACGCTCACGCCCACCCCCTTCCCCCTCACCCCTGCAGAGATGTTGTACACCTTACCTTCATCCCCTCCTCGGCCTCGGACAGCATGCTAACATCGTTCTTCTTCTGGTGCTGGGTCTTGGCCACTGCCCTCTGATGGTCATTTGGTTTGATGGACTTTCCTGTGGGAGGACAGGCTCAGAGGCTGGGGCCCCTCCCACCACCCTGCAGCTCCCCTGCCCTGCCCTGGCCTCCTGCTCACTTATCATGTCTCTCTCTCCATAGAGCTGGATGAGTCCTAGTTCTAGTTTTTCCACCCGCTCCTTCAGGTCCGCATTTTCCTTCACGACGGCCATGAAGTCATTCTGGAGCCGAAATAATGGGGTCACATCTTGGCAGTGACCTACCCCACCCCACCCTTCGTGGCCCCTGCCAGGACTCACTCACCTGCAGCTTGTCGATGGCGCCCTGCAGGGCCTGCTGGGTCTCCCCATACCCACACTCGCTCCCAGTCCCTGTGGCTGCAGCCACTGCCTCTGGCTCCTTCAGGGCCGAGGCCACCGGGTGATCCTGGTGCTGGCAGCACACCTGTTGTTTCTGGAGCTGCTCACAGAGCCGTGACTGCTCCTCCTGGGCACCTGCTCCAGCAGCATTCAGAAATGGCACCTGAAGGCAAGAGGGGAGCATTCTTGTAGGGACATACACAGGACAGACGGGGCAGGGAGGTGGAGCGCAGCCCCTTCCCTTGGGGCCTCAGAGAGTGCACCTGTCGGTCACGATGGTGTCTGACCACTGGCTCCCAGAAGGGGTGAGGGTCCAGAGGAATCAGAAGGTGGAGAAACCAAGAGCATAAGGGGGTCTGGGAGGGACCACAGAGGAAGGTGGCCTGCCCAGGTGCCTGGCCCCTGGCTCCAGCCTAAGAGACTGCCTCCCTTGCCTAGAACCCCATGCCTCCTTCCCCAGCCTCAAATCTCATGTCCTTCCTTCCACCATTTAAACTGTAGGCCACAGACTAGTGGAAAAGCAGAGGGCGCTGACCACCATCTGCCAAGTGTGCTACATGCCTAATGCTTTCCACGCATCATCTCATTTAATCCTCAGCACCCACGCAAGGAAAATGCTAACTTACTTTGGAAGTTAAAGAAACAGAGACTGAGAGATGCAAAGTAGTTGAATGGTGACCAGTGGAATCAAGGCCGGAATCCAATTTGGATCTAAGGAGACTTTCATTTTGTTTTGCTTTGATTTGATTTGTTCTGTTTTGAGACAGAGTGTCATTCTGTGGCCCAGGCTGGAAAGTCGTGGTGCAAACTCAGCTCACCGCAACCTCCAGCTCCCGGGCTCAAGCGATGCTCATGCCTCAGCCCCCTGAGTAGCTGGGATTACTGGTGTGCACCACCACGCCCAGCTTTGTTGTGGTGGTAGTGGTTGTAATTTTAGTAGAGATGAGGTTTCGCCATGTTGGCCAGGCTGATTTCAAACTCCTGATCTTAAGTGATTCTCCTGCCTCAGCCTCCCAAAGTGCTCGGATTACAGGGGTGAGCCACTGCACCCAGCATAAAGAGCCTCTCATACCACTGTCTCTTGCCCTATGACTGGGGGGCTCCATGCCTCGAGCTGGGATGATGATGTCCAGACCTGGGAGGAGCCCAGGGCTACCCGCCTCTAAAAGTCAGAGGGCAGGAAGCAAGAAACGGTCACAGGACTGCCCTGGAGGGTGTGGGGTCACCTGCCCCCAGGGTGGAGCTGCCTGTGGCCTTGCATCTCCCCTCCCCAGAGGGCGGTGCCTGCCTCCCAGCCCTCCTGGATGGGGCAGAGGTTACCGTCTCTTGTTTGTCAAGCTTCTCCTGCAGCTCCCTTCCTACCTGCTCCAAATGCAGTGCGCTCCTGTTCTTGTTCTTCTGGACAGAGAGAAGCAATCAGCGGCCACCCACTGCAGCTGGAGACCCCAAAACTTGGTGACTGCCTCCCATGGCACCAGGAAGGGTGGAGGCAGCTTAGAAAAATTGTCTCCTTTCTCCCACAGCCGTCAGAGCAGGGCTGTGGCTCACAGGTGCCTTTAGAAGCCCCATTTCATATACTCCCCCATTTTGCAGGTGGGAAAACAAAGGCCCAGAGGGCTGAGGAGGAGGGCAGTCTCCCCAGATGGGTAACACATCAGCACCTCTTCCTGCTCCTGGAGCCCCTCCCTCTCAAGAAGCCTCTCCTCCTGTTCTCTCAGCCTCACCTCCTGCTCCCGGAGCCTCATTTTCGTCTCCTGCAGTGTCTCCTGTTCCCGCAGCTTGTCTCTCAGGTACTTGGTTTCAGTTTTTAGGTTTTTCTCCAAGTCAGAGTGCCCTGCTGGGTGCTTTGGGATTGGGGGTTCAGCTGAGAAAGGAAGCAGAGAGTAAGGGCCTCTGGATTCTCAAAATAAAAACAAAAAAACCCACTCTTCTGGGTGCACAGCTCCTCTCAGGCTCCTCAAACCTGGCCTCACTGCTAATGATTCCTCTCACCCAAATGGTAGCCAGTCTTCCAAGCCACTTTCAGATAGAGAGCACTGTGGGTGGCTGACAAAAGGCACCCTCCCTCTTTCTGATGGGGACACTGAGGCTCATGGAGATTACGAGACTTGCTGTCTCCTAGCACAGACCTCTTTCCCTCTGCCTCAAAGCCCTTCCAGCCACCCACCTCCCTGGGGCACTCTAAGCCACCCCCACAGCCATCTGATGCCAGTCCTGCTCCCTGGTCATGCCAGCCCCATCTTACCCAGATGGTTTTGTAGGTGGGCAAGGCTCCCCTTCAGCTCCTCGATTTTAATTGCATCCTGCCTTTTCTCCATTTTGAATATTTCAATCTGCCCAAAGCACAGGGGGAAAGGGCCCTGGAGAGAGGGGCTGGTGGCTGGACAGGCTACCATCTCCCTCTCTGCCCCCAGCTCCACAAAGCCCAGTCCCGTGACCACCCCTGGCTGGACTATTCTTTTTACAGATGCCCAGGAAGATCCAGTGAGCTATCTAAGGTGGGTGCTGAAGGGTCAGCTCTCACTTCTCCTGCCATTTTCAGCAATTGCTGCTGCCACCGCGCCCTCTCTGTTTTGAGCTGTTGAGCGTATGCGTCTCTTTCTAGCTGAGCTTTCTTAAGACACTCTGTCACCTGCAAGTATGGACTCAGAAGTTAGGAAGGGCTGTCACTGGTCCTCACCTGCTCCTGGCCACCTGGGGCCATCTTCCTTCCATATCCCTCCCTCTGCAAAGTCTCACCTCTGCCACCTGTGCTTTTAGCAGTTCCCGCTCCTGTAGAAACTGCTGTAACTGCTGCTCAAGGACTGCTCCACAGCGGCTCGAGGGCTGGATGGTGGAGAGGGAGAAGCTTCAATCTGGAGAGGCTGGGCCATTCCACACAGTGCCCCTTAAAAGGGCTAGGGCTGGGCTTCATACACAACTTGGTCAGTAAAGATCAAGGCCCATGGTTTGGATTTTAAAATAACTCAGTAAAGTTGGAAGAGACAGGCAAAGAGATCAAATTTACAGCTGGCTAACAGAGGCCCAGAGAGATCAGATCATATTCTATTCTTATTCCTGTTATTACTACCGCTGTTGGAACCTTTATTGAGTGTGTCACCAGGTAGTGTGGTAACGATCCCATTTAACCTCACAACCACCATGTGAGGCAGTTGCTACCATTACCTCTATTGGGTAGATGAAAAACATGGAGTATTAGAGGTTAAGTGGTTGCCTAAGATCACTTAGACAGAGCTGGGATTTGAACACCCAGGTCCATCTGATCCTCTAAGTCCATTTTTTTTCATGCTGGGTGTGGGGGCAAAGACAGGACGGGGGAAGTTAATCTTCTGCTCACTTTTTGAAAGGATGATACATTCACATAGTCCAAAACTCATAAGGTACAGAAGGGAAGTATCTCCCAGCCACCTGTGCTCTCTCCTGAGTGTTTTACAAATCCTTGCAGACATGTTTTATGTATTTTAATACAGTACACACACACACACACACACACACACACACACACACACACACACATTTTCTCTCTTTACACAAATCGTAACATACTAGAGGTACTCTTCTGTACTGTTACAGTCCAAGTACCCAGTCCCCAACTAGGACTTGGCCAAGGCCACAGCCAGGAAAGGGCAAGGCGGGCATTTGGCCTCTGAGCTCTGCGTCCAGTGCTGGCTCCCCATAGTGCCCTTCAACTCACCCACAGCAGCCCCAAGGGGAAACTGGAGCCCAGGATTGGCAGCGTGGAATCAGGGCACCCCACTGGGCTCTTACCAATAAATTGACGGTGTTACTCAGTTCACTGGTTGTGACGGAGCTTGAGTCCTGGGCTATTTGTAGTTGGTGTGCGCTCTGAGGCACATGCAGAGAGGAGGAGTTGGGGGAGGATTGGGGTAGAGGTAGAGAGAACATTCATTAGGGTTGGGGTGTGTGGGGGCTGTATCGGCTGGCAGAGGGGCACCCAGCCACCACTGTGGGAGAAGGGTGGAGGGCTGGCCTGCAGGGTCACTGTACCTTAGCTCAGAGCCTCTTACCTCCTGATCTTTCATGGTGGCACATGGCGCAGGGCCCACCTTGTGACCACCTGCTGCTGACTACAAGAGATGAAAGTGCACATGGAGATGTTCTGTCCCCTCAGTGTCCAAGCCTCTGACTTCCTTTCCTCCCCATCAGCTGGCAGCATTTCCTGTTCTGTCTCTCTCGGACCCTTTGTCCCATAACACCTTTGTGCCAGTTCCTCCCGCGGTTTTTATCTCCCACCATCCCACCCTGGGGCCCTTTCAGTGACTCTTAAAGGGACAGCCTGACAGCAAGTGGCTGTTGTCATTGGGCTGGCTTCCCCTTGAGACTGGGGATGAGGAAAGTCAAACAGCAAGGACCATTTCCTGGGTGTCCTGGGTGTTTACAGCAGACCATGTACTAGGGATTAACAAAAAGCAACAGCAATAACGAATCTCATTTCACCCTCACAAATGGAAGTCAGACAATACCACTTATATTTTACAGATGTGAAAGGAGAGGCCCAAAAAGCTCCAGCAACTTGCCCTAATCATATCCCTAGCAGATGGAGAGGCAGGATTCAAACCCAGAAGTTCTTCCACAATCTTAACAGTTCCCCTCTACTGCCCCTTGGGCCCCTTTTCCCCAGAAGCCTGGCCAGCCAAGACTCACATGGCATGGTGACTGGCAACCATCAGAAGTGCCTGTCTCAGGGCTATTGTTGTTTCTTTTCTTTCTCCGTCTCACTCGTGTTGGAACAGGAGGGCTGTTTCGTTGTTGAAATTCTGTTAACTGTGGGAAAAAAGAGCAGTAATACTCATGAGAACTGCAAACCCCTACAGTCACCTACATTACAGTTTTTACAAAATGCTGTTACACACCATATGATTTAATGTCATCAACAACTCTATAAGGTGTGGTCATAATCACTTAGTGACTGAGAGGGATTGATATCATGGCAAAATTTTAAAAAATTAAAAAAAAAAAAAGAAAAGAGAAAGAAAAAGCAATACTAGACCTTAAACTCATTCCTCTCACTCCAAGCTCTGGGGTTTTGCCATGAATCAGCAACTGCCAGAGACCAGAACCACAGGCAGAGGCAGGAAAGTCAACATGAAGTAGACAGGAACTGTACACTGTGTGGCTTAGAGTCGTACAGCCTCGCACATCTGTTAGTGTTAAGAAGAGCACCAGCACCTCTCACACTTTTATACCAATGTGTCCTCAAGGCAGAAGGCAGCCTTTCTGTTAAATCTGGGGATTCATCAGAAAGAGGACAACCCAAGTCTCATTTCAGAGAGAAGTCTGATATACCCTTAGAAATCGATGTGACTGTCATCCCTAAGTACATTAATGTTTTTGCTGTTTCAAGATACTCAAGGGAAACTGATGCCTCTGAAAGATGTCCCATGTTTATCCCATGGCATTCAAAGTAGCCTAAGTTGAGATGATATGAGGAAGATTCAAGCTGTCAGTTTCAATTTCCCAAGATCTGTTCCACAGAAGATGAGCAGATCTCACTCCAGAGGCCACTGACTGAAGGGCAGTGGTCCCAGAACCATGGAGAATTTGAAGATGAGGTGGAGAACTAAGAAAGAAACGTGAAAGTCTCTCTGGAGAGCAGAAGCCTGAGAGAAAACCAAACCAAACCCATTCTCCCATTGCCACCCAGAGACACTGTCAACATTTTGAGCTCACGAGGGAAGTGTAGGCTTTTCACACTATCAATGTCTATGTTAAGGGAGTGAGGCAGCCTGAAACCTCTTGCTCCTAGGTCCCTCTTGCTCCTAGGTCCCCCATTCCCCTTCCAGTTGGAAATTTGTGCTGGGACCAGAAGAGCCAGAAATGGGATGAAAATGCTTAGAGGACTGGGTCCTAAGATTGAAGGCTGGTCTTGTAGCAGTAATGACGGTTCCTAGGGAGACCATGACATCTCTACATTCCACTCCCCCTGGGGGAGGGGACCACATCAAGGAGATGCCTGAGTCACTGCTCCATGATGGGGGAGGGTGGTGCAGGGCTGGGACCCAGGTCCTTGGAGACGCCAGCCCAAAGAGCACAAGTAGGTTGCAATGGGGGAGCAGGAGGGGAGGGCAGAGTCTGCAGCAGGGATTCCCAGGAGTCACCAGCCCAAAGTCACCCAGAAATGACCAATGAGGGTGGGGACTGGGAGACCCAGGTCCTTAGAGACATGAGCCCACAGAGCCCAGGGAGGTCAGGTTTGGGGCAGGAAAAGGTGAGGACCAAGTAGGGAGCAGGGAGCCTCAGGGTTTACACATCCAAAGTCACCCTGGGGTGATTGGCAAGGGCAGGGGCTGGGCCCCTTGCTGAAGGGGTGGGGCTGACTGACAAGACTTTGGTAGGGGGAGCCCAGAGGCACCGGGGTTGGGGGCCCACACAATCTGGTGTGTCTCAGAAGTGTTATGGACTCTGGCAGCGGTCTTGCTGTCGGAGGGAATCTGTGTGCATGTTACCTTTTTCCTAGCCAAGGCTAATTTCATCTTGCGAATTTCTTCTGACATCGCCATGGTGGGTGGGGGAGGGAGGAGGGGTTGGGGAGGGAGGTGGGGTTGGGGCCACATCAGCACAATTCAAGGGAGCACAGGTAAGCAGCTCCACTCTCCTACCAGGCAGCTGTGTTGACTGAGCCAGAGGAGGCGTAACCAGGGCCACACTAGAATGTAGAATAGGGGCGTGGCCTTCATGCTCCAATCCCATTGGTCAATGAAAAAGATGAAAGGGAAAGGAGGCATGGCCAGGCAGCAGCAGCTCCGGAGGGACCTGTGGTATCCCAAGGAAAGCTGCCCCTGCAACTCCTGTCCCTGCCCACTCTGAGAGGGGAGGGGCCACCCACTCCAGGAGAGAGGGGGCTCTGGCTTTTGCTTTTCAACCTTTAAATGTACCAAAGCATGCCGCCCTATGTTTGAAGAGGTGACCTTATGGGGAGATGACAGTGTGAGAAACAATCCTGCCTAGGCTGAGGTTCCCTAGGGCCCAGAAGAGCACTGGCCGAGGTTCCCTAGAGCCCAGGGTTCCCTAGGGCCAGGAGAGCACTGGAGCTCACCCTGACACCCATTGGAAACCTGAAATCCACACCTGCAGGAGATCAGGAAAGGGGTTCAGCCTCCAATGCACCTGCAGCCAGGTGAGACAGTCACAGGTGGGCGCCAAGCATATCTCCTGCCTGACCTTCCTCTCCTGCCTCCCCCAAGCAGAGGATAATTGACAGCTGCCCATCAGCCCATTGCCTAGATTGAAGCCACTGAATCTGGATCCCAACAGGCCCAAGGCAGTCCTGTCTCTGGTGAGGACCTGGCAGACAGATGTGATGTTCCCAAGTGGCTCTATTAACCTTATTGTGGATAATCAAGGAAATGGGCAAGACCATCATGCTTAGCCAAGAACCTGGCAGGCACGAGGGAAACCAGGGGCAGACAGAAGTCAGTTTGGTTCCAAGCCTGGCCCTGGAAGGGTGGTGGACTGGGGGCAGCCACAATGAAGGGGAACGGATGGCCATGGGCTGTGTGGCCAAGGCTGTCAGCTCCTGCAGCACCTGCGGAACATCTGCCCAGGCCTGGCTCTGCACTCACGCTTGTGCCTGGAGCCACAGGTGCCTGGACAGCAGCCTAAAGGAGGGATGGTGGAAGGAAAGGCACTTGTGGCCACATGTGGGCACCTAAGCATGGGACAGAGGGGCATCGTGCCCCAAAGAGACCATACAGGCCAAGAACTCAAGCAGATGTACCCCCTGGTCCTGGGTCACATCAATTAAGTCAGAGCCTGTCCTGACCCTGAAGCTGCAGCTCAGTCTAGTTGAGGCTCATAAAGAGATGTCAGTGCAGGGCAGGGGGCCCGGCCCAGCCTGCAACATCCAGCAAAGCTGTGTGCTGGACAAGAATCTCTGAAGATGAGTCCAGATCAAGGACAGCTGTGCCTGAGCAGGGAGTGGGGGAAATGCCCAGGGGCAGGAGGCCTGAGGACCTTAACTAGGTGGGATGCCAGGTCAGCACGTGCAGAAGAGAAGGTGACATTGCAGCTGCTGTCTGAGGCCAGGCTATAAACCTAGGGGCCGCCTCGTCTAGCCTAAACCATGCTGCTGCCCAGTCACCATCCTTCAAATGCCAGAGGCAGGTCTGGGAGGGCCCCCAGACCCCTCTTCCCTCCCGCACTAAGCTGGTTCTCATCCCTCACCAGAAGGGAAGTGAAGCTTTCTATGGGTCACAGGCTGCCAGGTTCTCTGTCACCTGGTGGAAGGGGCGGGGGAAGCTGCAGCTGGGCAAAGAAGAACCCAGGTACCAGAGCTAGAAGGGCTTTGGGAAAGCCTTGAACAGGGCCAGGACCTGAGCTCTGCCTGGCTATGGTGACTCTGAGCCAGGCAACCCCATGATAGTCTCAGTCTGTCACTCTGTCTCACGGGGGATGTCGGCATTATTACCTTTGGAGTCAAAGTAGGTAATCCAGGGAAACCAGAGTATGCAGTGTGAAGCCCGGACAGCCGAGGCCCTTGCCCTTCAGGTTACAGGCATCTGGGTCCTTGTCTAGATCCTCATATGCCATCCAGAGACCCAACCCTAGGGACAATTCCCCCCAGCTGGTAGCAGTGAGTCAATCGTCGTACTCACCCCACTAAAAGCTCTGAAATGAGAAGGCCTGCGGGTGAGGGTGAGACTCTTCAGGAAAAGGTTCTCAGTGGCAAGGAAGGTTTGAGCTGTGCCTTAGGGTAGCCAAAGGGGTAGGTGACAGGCCCCCTCACAAAGCATGCCACAGAACACAGGAGGGTTGCATGTATAGTGGTGGGAATGTTTTGGAAGATGGCAGACAGCCTCCCACTCACTGATGGGGCTTAGTGAGGTCTGGTCCACACGCCAGATGCTGGATTCCACACATGGGTACACTTTGTTTCTTGTTTTAGAGACAGGGTCTTGCTCTGGTGCCCGGGCTGGAGTGCAGTGGTGCAATCACAGCTCACTGCAGCCTTGACCTCCTGGGTTCATGTGGTCCTCCCACAGGAACAGTCCCAGCCTCCTGAGTAGCTGGGACTACAGGTGCATGCCACCATGCCTAATTTTATTTTTTGTAGAGGCAGGGTCTTGCTATGTTGTGCAGGCTGGTCTCAAGGGATCTTTCCACCTCAGCCTCCCAAAATACGGGGATACAGGAATAAGCCAGTGCTCCTGGTTCTGCTGCTGCATTTTTGCTGCCTTGGTGCACAGGAGGCATGAGCTGGGGGGCAGAATCTGCTCCTGGACCTTTCCCAGGCCTGCATCCAGACTGACCCCTGGTCTGCAGGAGGCAGGTGTGGAGAGAACGCAGTGAGCAGAGCTAGCTAGCCAGTGATGGAGACCCAGGCTGGGACTATAAGATGGGGCTCCAACCCTCAGCCTAGTGGCCCTGCCAACCCCTTGAAAAAATAAATAAATGACCTAGTCTCAGGTATTCCTCTAGAGCAGCACAAAACAGACTGATACAGCCTCCACGCTTGGTGTCCACTGGACCCGACCACTCGGGGAAGGGCTGCTCTTGACTCTGCCATTAACATCCAGACTATGACAGAGTTGTTCCCCTGCTCTGCCTCAGCTTACCTCTCTCAGCTGAGCAGAGTAGGGATAATTGCTTCTCATGTGGGCCACAGAACAAAACAAAGCCCTGAGTCCCACAGGAAGGTGGGTGGGCCGTGTCCAAGGGAAGACAGACCTGGGAAGTATTTTACGTCCTCGGGGTGGCAGAGGGACATGGAGAAGATGCCTCCTTTGTGGGCAAAGGAGAAGGGAAGATAAGCAGAGAGGCGTTGGACACCTGCCTCACCCCGACCTCCCCCACCCCGCACCAGGCCCATTCCCACATAGCCCCCAACTCAGGAGGCATTGCTCTCCTTAGGGTCGGTGGGACTTCCTAGCTGAGCTGGGGAAGCTGACAGTCTGGATTCATCAGGGGCAGCATGTAGTGTAGGTGATGCACTGGACGGAAGTGGAGAGGGGACACGGGAGCCGTGGTGTCAGGTCCGGGGCTGCCAATGTGGTACCTGCCCTGGCCGTGGGCAGACCATGCTGCTCCACCCTGCTACATGTGGCCTCTAATTCTAAGGCATCCAAGTTCCAGGCCAGGACTGGAGCCACACTCCCTTTGGGGACAAGGGACACAGTCCACACAGACTTCACCTGTGCTTTGGGCAAAGGCAGCTGCACAAATGAACAGGAGGGGCCCTGCTGGAGAGTAGGAACGGGCCTGGACTACTCAGACCTGCCTCTGTGACAGGTCGGTCCCAGCCTTCGAGTCAGACTTCTGAGAAGAAAGCTCACTCAGCCAGGGAGTGCGGGGTGTGGCCTGCAGGGTCCCTGGAGTCTATAGCCCCTTCCACCCAAGTGAGCTCCAGAAAAAAGATGCAGAAACAGCAGGTGCTCCTCCCAGCTGCTGGCTGCTTCTTGGTGTGGCCTCAGGGACCCCGGATGAGTCAAGATGGGGCTGTCAGCAGCTGGGGGTGGGGGAAAGCTGGGTCCCCAGGGTGGATGCCCAGCAGGGACATGCAGGTGTGGGGAGTGCTGGGTCCTCAGGGCTGACCCCTTTCTGCCCAGGGGGCCTTGGTGACATGCCTGCTGCTGAGCTTAGCCCGAGGAGTCAGGGCCTGGTGGCAAGTAGCCTCTCTGCTTGTGAAGACAGTCCTGGGGTCGTTATCCCTCTGCCCAGGCTCAGGCATCCAGGCTGTGGAAGGCCAGCATTCAGAAAGAAGGGCACTGTGGGTGTGGGTTCCCCGGCAGTCGGGCCTTGGTGGACAGAGCCCCTTATGAGGGGATGAGGAGGAAGGGAGACTGAGCTGTACTTGCCCCTGGCTGAGATCTGTGGTACCAGGCTCCAGAGGGGGCCCTGCGGGGAGACCAGCATGAGAGGAACCTCTGCAGATGCCTTTGGGCACCTCCTCTGCAGGGCTGGGCCAGCTGGAGGTTTAGGGTCCACATGAGACCGCCAGGCCGGGCGCCACAAGGAATGAGGCTTCCTGCTGGGGTTGCAAGGAAAGCTAGTCAGGTGTGCAGAGTGGCACCCGCTGAGCTGGCAGAGACCTCCCCACCAGTTCCAGGAGTGCTGGAAACCAGGCTGCCAGGGGATTGGGGCCGTAAGTGCCCTAGAGACCAGGGGAGAGGTCTCAGCTAACTCCAGACGGGATAGCATCCATTCACAGGTCTAGAAGAAAGCTCCAAGCTAGCGACACCCAGAAGGGGCCGGGCTCCCAAGGGCTGGGGCCAGGGATGCCCACTGGCCTCTGGGGAAGCACTGGGCAGATCGGGTGGGGACCAGTCCTTTGGTAGCTAGGGACCCTTGCAGCCTGCTAGGCTTAGAGGTGCCAGGGTGGCAGCAGGCAGGGCTGGGGAAGACCTGGCCTCTGGAAGCCGGGGTCCTGGTACATCCACGGGGCCAGGAGGTGACAACCTGGGGGTGGAAGCAAACCCTGAACAGGGCCATTCCGGATCCAGCCCAAGGGAGGTAGCAAACCTTGTGGAAAGGCAGGCGGGTCCCCAGGTCTGTTGGAGAAGCCGGGCCTCTTAGAGGAGGGGCTGTCTGCAAGGTCTCTTACCTACTCAAGGCAGCTGGGAGCCTGGGCCTCACTGACGGGTCATCAAGGCCTCAGCAGAAGGGGCAGAGAAGCCCCGGCTTCCTGTGCAGTGCAGCCCCAAGCTGAAGCCCCAGCCCCTCTGAGGGGGTGGTGCAGTTGGGTCTGAGAGGTTTACAGGGTTTGAGGAGGTGCAGCCACCAAGCTTGGGGCTCCAAGTTGTGAATTACAGGTAGGAGAGGAGCTAAGGGATACAGGAGGGGCCTGCCCTGGTCCCATCATCCGGATCTGAGGAGGAAAAGGGTCTGCAGGTGCCTTTATCAGAGCGTCTTGGAGAAAAAAGCAGGGATCCCCTGCCAAAGCCAGTAATCACAGAATAGGCTGCTTGAGGTCCTTCCAAAGGGCTCAGCATTCCTTCCTAGGAGCCTGGGTTTGAATTGTCCAAAAAAATCACGAGGACCTGGGAGCTGGGCCCCTCTTGGACAGAGGCAGGGTGTGGGAGGCAGTGACCAGGCAGGCTGAGGCCAGGGTCCATGGCAGGAGGGGTGGAGGGCTCATCGACACAGGCACCCCTTAGTGGGCCACAGCTAGAACGCCCGGAGCTGGGGTCCCCAAGGAGGAAGCTGTGTCCTCAAGGAGGCCCCCAGCTTCCAGCCAGCCTGGACAAGGGGCTGGGGTGCAGCAGGGAAGGAGAGAGAGACAGGAGGGGCTCGGCAGCGCTCCCCCATTTCCATCTCCGGGAGCAGACAGGACCCTGGAGGAGCTGCACGGGGCACTCCCCACTGGGGGTGTCTGGAGGTGGAGTCTTGGGAGCTGTCCAGAGAGCACAGCACACAGCCAGCAGCAAGGCCTTGTCCACGGGAAAAGCGTCCCCGCGGCCCTCTTCCCGCAGCAGCTGGGGCAGAAGGCAGAGCCATGGACTTGATGCCCAGCCCTGCCCACAGTCGCTGGCACTCTTGCTTCCTCTGGCCATGGGACCGTGTCTGCCCATCAAGCCCCACTAAAGGGTGGAGGTGAGAGTAGGGAAGGTGGGCACGGCAGCCCCCTGGGGCTTGGGCTGAACCTGGCTCCTGTCTCCCTGGCAGGTGCTCCAACAGGGCCCCCGAGCAGGATTGGAGGCGGTCGGAGAAGGACCAGTGGGAGCGGCTGGCAGAGAGCAGGTGGCAGCGGGCCGAGCTGTGCGGTTGTCTGCGGGCAGCGCTGGAGTCCCTGTCAGAGCAAATCCAGGTGCTGCAGAGGAGGGAGAGCAAGCTGGGACTCGGCTGGGCCCTGAAGCAGAAAGTGAGGCCCTGTCCTCCCTCACCCCATTTTCCTGGGCTTTCTGCAGCTGAAAGGAGGTCCCCTGAGCTAGCAAGGTCCCCTTAGCAGGCTGAAAGCTCCGGAATGCTCAGAACAGGTGTCCACATCTGGTGCCATCTTCTCAGGGAGGCTTGCTGGGGTCTGCGGTAACTGGAGGAGAAAGGGAAATTGAGGCCCAGCAGGGCTGCGTGCTGAAGAGATGCCATCTCTGAATGGTGTCCCTGGAAGGGTCCAAGGTGTGGCCTGAGAGGCATATGCAGGGGGTGGCTAGGGATGCTGCTGGAGGCAAAGCAAGGGCCAGGGTCCCTGTGGTCCCCCAGGGAGAGTCTGAGGGAGGCAGAGACTAGTTTTAGCTCCATAGACTGAAGAGCTTCCTCAGAAGCCCAATCTCCCCTAGTGAAGCAGGTGACCCCCAGAGAGGGGGAGATGGCTGTGCAGGCTGAGGCTTCTTGGGAAGGTTACCAGCATCCCTGCCTCGGGTGAGGAAATGGACACCCTGTGATGGCCTAGCTACCCAAGCCTTCAGTGACTCCATGTCTCAGCTCACAGCTGGCCCTCCTGGAGCCACTGCTCCCTCCCAGGCCTGAGAGACTCTTGGGATCCAGTTGACAACCTCATGTCTGCCCACCCTTTAACATTCCACAGCAGTCCTGCTGGCCTCCACCCTGAAGCCGTCAGCAGCTGAGGTAGAGAGGCAGTGTGTCTCAGGTCCAGCTAGAGGCAGAGGGTGCCCAGCTGCAGCCTGTCGTGACAGATCACAGCCAGGCAGCCCCTCAGGGTCCCCGGGCACAGTCCCTTGTCCATAAGCCAGGGCACAGGTCCATGCTGGGCTGTCAGCTGGGCCCCTGGCTGCCAGTCTGCCTTCCTTATCAGAGGCTGCAGACACTGCCCTGCCTGGTGGGAGGCAGGAAGCTTAGGCACACCTGGCAGAGGCTCCGTGCTGCCTGCAGTCCTCCCCCAGCAGGCGGTGTGCTCCCTGGCCCACCTGGAGGCGGAGAGAACCCAGGGACAGGCGGAGTGGAGGAGGCCAAACCAGGACATAGAAGACAAGTGAGTGGGGCTGGGCTGTGGGGTGGGGGTGGGGTGGCAGGGAACAGGCAGACTCCCCCTTCTACTCCCAGGATCCCGCTGCTGCAGACAGACGTGAAAAGGCCCAGCGGCATGCAGGCCAGATGAGACAACAGTCCCTTGGCCCGGATCCCAGCCTGGGGATCCCCCATGTGGGTGCATGGCAGGCCCTGAGCACTGGCCTTGCTGTACCTTTGACCTTGCCCTACACTTTATTCTCTGGTCCTCATTCTTGGAGCATTATCTGGGGAAGGAGGGCAGTGCAGGGGCTTAGTGCAGCTCAGAGAGGGATCTTCTTCCAACATTTGGAAATAGCCTGGGATCATTCAGCGATGTCCCTCCTGGTTGAGATGGGAAGACTGAGATCCGAGGGCAGAGGAAAGCTTGTTCAGAGTCGCACCCTGAGTCGGGGACATGACCCGGCCACAGCATGCCCTGAGGCATCAAGGGTCTGCCAAGACCACCTCAGTGTGGTCTGGAGGCTGGAAGGAGACCCCAGGATTCTGGACCGAGTGTATCCGCAGGAGATGCTGGTGCCAGGCCTGCAGATACAAGGGTAGAGCTGGGATGGAGGCAGGGCCCAGGCGCTTTGGGACAGGGTCTCCATGTGGGCAGCTCAGACTCCTGCCCAGGCTCAGGACACAGTCCATCTGCAGGAGCAGTTGCTAATGCTCACCGAGGTTGGTCAAGACAGCTGGCAGGGGCAGTCCCACAGGGAAGGGAATCGGCATCAGCTGATCCAGGCCATGCCCATCTGTACCAGGGGGCAGAGGCAAGGGTCCCTGGGCTCCGTTCCTAGGGGATTCCAAGGTAGGGCAAGGGGCTCTAGGGGAACAGAGGAAAGGAAAATAACCAGGAGAGACAGATTCTAGCAGGGCATCCACACAGCGAGACTCCAGAGAGCACCATCTTCATCCTCACGTAACTGGCCCCCCTGCCAGTGTGCAGCCAGGCACTGGTCCAGAGTGGAGCCTGGAGTGCTGAGGAGCCTCTGTGGGCTGTGGTGGTCAGAGAGTCCTCCTATGAGGGTTGAGACCCAGAGGAAGAGGAGTTCAGGGCCTCTGTGACCAGGGAGCTGCATGGGTAAAGGCCTGAAGGACAGCTGGAACCCCACAGCCCTGGTGGAGGTTGAGCTACAACTCGGTGGGGTGGGGATCTTCCCAGGTGAACAAAAGACTCTCAGAAGAGCTGAGCCGGAGCCGCCAGCAACTAGGAGCCTGCTTGGAGTAGCTGCAGCATCTGCAGAGAGAGCACACGGTGCTGGGGGGCCGTGTGCAGGCCCCGGAGGCAGAGCGCACCTGGCTACGCGGGGAGAAGGCAGTGCTGCCAGCGGCACTGGGTGTGGCCTAGGCCAAGAGGCCTGCTGGGTAACTGCTCGGGCCCATCCTCAGAGTGTCCAAGCCAGGCTGGGGTGGGTGCTCTGCTTTCACAGTGGGTGAGATGGCCCTCTCAGCAGGCAGTAGGCCAGCCTCTGTCACCAGCTGGCTGATGGGGAATGGCCTAGAGCCCTAAACCCAGAATCACGTGACCAGAGCCAGTCTCCCTTCCCCAGCTATCAGTGCTCCTGCTGGTCACATTCTGGCTCTTTTACGAGGAGGGAAATCTTTCAGCTTCAAGAAGTCCTGTCTTACCTACACATGGCCAAGCCCTTCCTGCTGGCCCAGGGGCAGGTGGGAGGTGGGGGTGAGACGACCTTAGCTGCTGGGTGCAAGTCAGGGTATTTGGGAGAAGCGCCCAGTACAAAGGGGTTCTGTGTGCAGGGAGCCATGAAAGAGGCATCTCTGCCCCACCCCCCTAGTCCACAGGGCATAATGAGAAAGGAATGATTAAAAGGGAGTGGGGTGGGGGTGATCTGGGGTCCACGCTGTACCTGTACCCCATTTCTTCCAGTCCACTCCAGGTGCAGGAGGCACCAGTGCCCCTCAGGAAAGAGCTAGAGGCACAGGACTCACATCCCAGGCTTCGTGAGGAGATGGCGCAGCACTGGAAGGCACCCTGGCACCAGGTGGCAGTTGCCCTGAAATTTCAAGAGGAGGAACTGCAGAGACTCCAGAGGCAGAGTGGGACCTGGCCTCCCCAGGTGGGCACTCCCTGGCTCCCTCCTTCTCCATTTCCCAGAATCCCCTTCTCCCCATTGTCTTCCCCACTGCCCAGTCTTTCCCATGCTAGGGACTAGGGGTAACCAGCTAGTCTCTTACCCCTCCTCAGGATGCCCCATCTTGATCCTATGCATCCTTCCGTTTTCTGCCTTTTCCTCATCGTGGCTCATCATTCTCCATCCATGTGTTCAGCACGCAGTTACTGAGCATCTACTACATGCCTGGCTGTCTTCTGTGTGCAGAAGCAACGGCAAATCAGATCACTCCTTGTCCTCAACAGCTTATGGTTTGGAGGCACACAGTCATTGAGCAAGCATTTATTTATTATTGATTTAATTATTAATAATTTATTATTGATTATTGATTTATGATTGATTGATTAATTGGGTCAGGGTCTCACTCTGTCACCCAGGCTAGAGTGCAGTGGTGCAACCATAGCCCACTGTGGCCTCAAACTCCTGGGCTCAAGCGATCCTCCTGCCTCAGGTAGCTGGGACTGCAGGCAGACTTCAACATGCCTAAGTTTTTTATTTTTTATGTTTGTAGACATGGAGTCTCATGACATTGCCCAGGCTGGTCTTGAACTCCTGGCCTCAAGCAGTTCTCCTGCCTGGGCCTCCCAAAGTGCTGAGACTACAGGCATGAGCCACTGTGCCTATTTTGCAAGCAATAATAACTTAATGTGCCAGATGAGGGAAGAGGCACTATGGGAGCTGGTTAGGAGTGGCAGATAGGAGAGCCCTTCCCAGCGAAGGCGTTTCTGAGCCTCTGAACCCTCACACAAGGATAGACAGGCATTTTCCAGGAGGACGGAGGGAATGAAGGGCATTTCAGCAAGAGGAAACTACACGTGCATACATCAGAGATGGAGGAGGAGTGTTGTAAACAGTCCCTGATCAGATGAGAGGCAGAGTGGCTGAGGGGTTACTATGGATGCGGGACAGGGGCCAGATCCAGGGCTTAGACGTCCCAGCTCCTGTCCACCTGACTTCAACTCCAGCTTGGTGGCTGCCTTCTCCTGGACAACATCCCTTAGTCTTTTGGGCAAGTGTATGTGTGCATGGGCAGACAGGCACACAGACACACATGCACACCCCCCCAAGGTACACATCAGACATGTGCATGCACTCCCAGATATGCACACACAGAGACACAGAGATACAGACACCAGCCAGGTGCCTGGGAGCCATAGGGAGGTAGAGTTGTAAGGACCCCAGGTGGGATCCACCTCTGCCAGAAGGCCTCCGACTGAAGCTGATCTGCTGATCTGGATGGAAGGAAACGGAGAGAAAGCTTAGCTGGCCTTGGGCCTCATTCAAGGCCAAGTTAGTCCAATTCAGTGTATCTCAGATGGGCACAGAGCTGTGCTCAGAAGGGGGCGGTTCCTTATGTTTGCAGTGTAGTCTGCCACTGTATATTTGTACAGAAGAAAATCTCAGCGTTTTCTTTTCTTTCCCTTTTTTTTTTTTCTATGTCTCAAACCAGACCGGGAGCAGGAGAGGATATATCCCCAGGGCCTGAATGGGCTACAGCCTCTGGTCAAGTCTGAGGACCTGCAGTGGACAACGTCAGCGAGAAGGTAGTGGAGTGACAGAGGGCTGGGCCCTTGGCAGATTCGTCTCGTGGCAGGAAGTGGTGCCATGGGAGCCATATGCATGTAGACTGCACGTGACACATAAGCCTGTGCCAATTTGGGGCCCACGTGCAGGGCCTTCCAGCCCCTCGGAGACTTTCAGGCCGTTTCTCCTCCCTCCCTAGACCCCTAGAAGGCCAATCCAGGACTCACCTTCTACGGGCAGGTGGGGGCCCTGTGCCTGTCCAGCGAGGATGGCCTACAGTGCAGACCCTGGGTCATGGGCAGGGGTCCTGCGCAGAGTCGCCAATGGACCAAACAAACAGTGCTCTTCCAGCAGGGCGAGGCTCTCGGAGGTGGGTCAGCAGCTGGATAGGATCTGGACGAAGCCACATTGCATCAACGTCAGACTGACCGGGGGTTCAAGAGCTCAGCACCCAGTGCTCCCAGGGGCTCTGGCATGCTCCCCCTCCAGTCCCATCCCCAGCCTCAAGCTCCTCCACCCAACCCTCTCTGGGTCTCTATCTCAGTCTGCCTCCAATCTCAGGATTCACTAGTCTGCACTGCCCCCAGGTTAGTGGATAAGATTGTGGGTTTCAATCTTGGCTTCAAGATATACTAGCTGTGTGACCTTGGCCAGTCACTCTGCCTCTCTGGGCCTTACCTGCAAAAGTGAAAATAATGGTTATCCTTAAGAGGGTTACATAGACAAGCACATGAAAACACATGGTGTTCGGACACACGTTTGCTACTATGATTGCACACGTCCTGCTGCTGCAGGTGTGGCCACTTGGAGGAGAAAGTTCCCCTCGAAGTCAGGGTCCTTTTGGGGCCAGAGTGCTGCCAAAGGGGCTGGATTCCACTTACCCTCTGTGTGAGATTCCTGGGGCAGTGGTGACAAAGTGCTGAAGACGGAGTAGCTTCAGCGGCAGGTATTCACTGTCTCCTGGTTCTGGAGGCTGTAGTTCGGGTCAGGGAGTCAGCACAGTTTGTTCCTTCTGAGGGCTGTGAAGGAGGGTCTGTTCTAAGCCTCGCCCCCTGCTTCTGGTGCTTTGCCAGCAGTCTTTGACACTCCTCCCGGGGTGTCCGCATGGCGACTCGCTGTGTGTCTGCCTGTGCCCACATTTCCCCTGTGTATAGGACTCCAGTCACCTTGGATTAAAGCCCAGCCTCGTTTCTTCATTTTAGCCTGATTACCTCTGTAATGATCCTGTCTCATCACGAGGTACTGAGCACTTCAATATATCTTGTGTTGTTGTTGCGGGGGATACAGTTCAGCCCAGATGCCCCCAGTTTGCTTCCTGCTACCTTCCCAGATGGGTGGTTTTGTTTGGGTGCGACTTGAGACCTCAGGGCCACAGTGCTCTCGTTTCTCCCCTCATGTAATCACAGGACCCTCACACAGCTGCAGAGAGGCCAGAATGCGCACAGAAGGAGCTGCAGTGAGTCTGGGTGGGCGCTGCCCAGTGAGCCCCCTGGGTCCCTAGTCCACATGCCCAGCCAGGGAGGGCATGTCCGGGCCCAGGAGGAGAGCTGTTACCCTCTGAAGTCTGGACCTGCCCAAACCCGAGTTCTGTGAGGGTTTCTGTGGGTGTGAGAGGATGGGGGAGCAGGGCCCCTGGATGGGCATGCAGCCTACCCCTCCTCACCCCTTCCTAGCCAGCCACAGGAGCAGGCTGCAGGCTCTGGAGAGGGAGAACAACCAGCTGGCTGCTGGGATCCAGAGGTGGAAGGTGGGCAGGAGCTGGGCTGCCTGGGGTGGCGTGAGGTAGCCCCATCTGCAGTCAGGGCCCCCAAGGAACCCTCCTGAGGACTCTAGAGCCCTCCCCACACTTGAAGTGGTTTTGGAAATGGATCCTTCTCTGTTGAACCTTCAGGTGAGGCCCCATCCTGGTTGACACTGAGTACAGCCTCATAAGAGATCCCGAAACAGAGGATCCACATAAGTTGTGCCTTGATTCCTAACCCAAAGAAACTCTAAAATCATAAATGAATGCTGTTCTAAGCTTCTATGATTGCAGAAATTTGTTATACAGCAAAAGTCAATGCATACAATAGGTAAGAACATTTGCAAATCAGTAAGAAAAATGGACATCAGAATGGAAAAATAAAGTTGGATAACAAAAAATATAAATAAACAATTCAAGTAGAATATACATCAAAACTTTAACATTTTTATTCTGTATGTCCCCAGATAGGTTTAGAATATAAATCAGGTTTGAGATCAAAAAATTATTTTGGGGATGTCAACTACAGTATTTATAATGATAAGGATTTAGAATTTTTATAATGATAAGGATTTAGAATTTTTATAATGATAAGGATTTAGAAACAACCTGACTCTCCTAGAGCATATTCACTTAATACAAGTATTTATTTAAAACAGAACATTTTTTTCCTCATGACAGCAAGTTGAGAGATACACAATTCAGGTACAATATGGGAATTCTATTTAACATCAGAGATGAAGACCTTTCAATCTTTCTATTTTGCTATCCTGGAAGCATTTGCTTTTCACTCTCAAGGTCATCTCATGGGATCATCTGATAACTTCTAGAGCTCAAGCCATTATATTCTCTTTCCAGACACACAGAACAAAAAATAGGGGAAAGTTTAACTGGCACTTGAAAACCAAATAAAGCCTCTTTTAAAAGTTTCCTCCTGAGCCACCCAACATCCCATTTGCTGCCCCTTTTCTGCAAGAGATACGGCTGCTCACAGTATTTTAAGTAAATACATTCCATCCCCAACATGTTAGGGTATATCAGTCAGTGTCCAATCTGAAGGCAGAAATCACCCAACGTGTTCAAACAGGAAAGTTTTAACATAAAACTTTTGTTGCCTAGAAACACACAAAGTAGTTTATTGCTTAGTGAACTCTATGGGGTTTGGAAGTAGTAGTTGCAAAGAGCTATTTTTATCCCTAGGCTAAGGAATAATGGAAAATAAATGAGCTAAGGAGTAAGAGAGCACCCACCTCTGAGGCTGAGATTCAGGCCTTATTAATGAGGGCATGGCTATGGCAGATACATGCACTCTGCCAGAGGCAAACAAACTTGGCAGAGGACATTGGCCACTACTGATTTGCAAAAGTGGTATAGTGCTGCCAAGGATACAGGAAAACTGAAGATGCTTTGTAGTAGTTTCCCAATGTTGAAAAAATGTGTGATGGACCAGAGCTATTCTATAGAAGTGGCCTGCCATTGCCAGGGAATATGAAAAAGATGGAGTTTTTCAGAAGTGGCTGCTAGTAAAAAGATCATGATCTACACGCAGCTGGAGCTTATCTCCATGGTTGCTACTGTTGTTAGGTGGAGTATCCTATAAATGCCAACCAGGTTAGATTAATTCGCAGGATTGATAAACTTTTCTCTTGCTTTTTTTGCTATTTATTCAATTATGGAGAGAAGGATTTTATAATCTTCGAATAAATATGTACTTTTGTCAACTTCTCCACTTAGTTCTATCAGTACTCGCTTCATATATTTTAAAATTTTATAATTAGGTACAAAAATGTTTAAAATTCTTGTGTACCCTAGATAAATGGGTTTTTTTTTAACAATTATGTAAGGACTTTGTTTATTCTAGATAATATTCTTTGTTCTGAAATCAACCTTATCTGATAATATTAGTATGGCCATTTGAGCTTTCCTTTGATTAGCTGTTTGCCTGGTATATCTTTCTTCACCCTATTACTCAGCTTAATTATGTCTTTTTTTTTTAAATTTCAAGTGAGTTTCCTAGTCTGGGCCCAGTGACTTATGCCTGTAATTCCGGGGCTTTGGAAGGCCAAAGCAGGAGGATTAGTGGAGCCCATGAATTTGAGGCTTCGGTGAGTTATCATTGCACCACTGCACTGCAGCCTGGGTGGACAGAACAAGACTGTGTCTCCAAATAAAATAAAATAAAAAATAAAGTGTGGGAGTCTAAGTCTCTTTGTAGGTCATTCAGAACTTGTTTTATGTATCTGAGTGCTCCTGTATTGGGTGCATATATATTTAGGATAGTTAACTCTTCTTGTTGTATTGATCCCTGTACCATTATGTAATGCCCTTCTTTGTCTCTTTTGATCTTTGTTGGTTTAAAATCTGTTTTATCAGAGACTAGGATTGCAACCCCTGCTTAAATCTTCCTCCATCCCTTTATTTTGAGCCTATGAGTGTCTTTGCATGTGGGATGGGTCTCCTGAATACAGCACATCAATAGGTCTTTATTTTTATCCAATAATCTTAAAGAAAAAATTTTTAAAACCTGGAGGCATTATGCTCTCTGACTTCAAACTATACTACAAGGCTACAGTAATCAAAATAGCATGGTACTGGTACCAAAACAAAGATATACACAAATGGAACAGAACAGAGGCCTCAAAAATAATGCCACACATCTACAACTATCTGATCTTTGACAAACCTGACAAAAACAAGCAATGGGGAAAGGATTCCCTGTTTAATAAATGGTGTTGGGAAAACTGGCTAGCCATGTGCGGAAAGCAGAAACTGGACCCGTTCCTGACACCTTACACTAAAATTAACTCCAGATGGATTAAAGA